GAAATGTGTCATAAGGCCACACACCCCGCCCCCAACGGTCCCGGCCACCGGTGCCGGCCTTGCAGCTCCACTGCCGAGCCCCATGAAGGGCCCGGCAGTGGACCTGCAAGGCCGGCGGGAGTGCAAGGAAGCCCCGTGAAGGCCCTCCCTGGCCCCAGGCAGGCAGGGAGGGCCTCCCTCTTCTCCTGCCTCCTCCTGGCTGAATGAGGGCCGGAAGCGGGGTGGCCAGAAGCAGGGGGCGGGGCTTCGTCATGTGCCCCGCCCCCCGTACCTCACCCGGGGGAACTGCGTTCCCCCGCGTTCCCCCCCGAAATGACCTCTGGGTTTATATAATTGCATTTGCTACTTACTGCCAGCAGACATTTAAACATTTTAAAAGGAGCTAGCATTTTGTTTTTCAGCTCCTGCTATGTAACTTTGTCTAGTAAGCATATATGAGAACAAAAGTTCATTCTGTCCTTTCAGTGAGCAGCTATAAATGGCAGAGTTCTCCAGGGAGATATGTAATTCATTTGATTGGAATTATATTGCAGTTGTAATTTTGATGTATATGAAATGTAGCTGAATCTGTAGGTGTACTCTCAACCTGATGGTGAGCCACTATTTAATTAGTTTACTTCATTTTTCTCCATTTTGAGATAAGTGTTTGAAGAGACTGAACTGTAAAATTAAATATAACTCATTAACCTGAACTAAGTTGTTAATGATTCGGCTCTGCCTGCCTCATCCATTACACGGCAAATAAGAAAGTGATGGTTGTCTTTTAATGGTATAGAGACTAAGGGTCCTCAACTTTGTTGAGCCTGTGGATACTTTTGGAGTTTTGAGAATAGGGCACCATAAGCAAATGGCCGTCAAGGGGAACAAAATGGCTGCCATCAGAGCGACACCAGTCACAAAAAGGTTCTTTGTTGTGTGGCAAGAAAGACTTCAGGAAGGAAGGAAGGAGCACATGAACATCATGGCACCCACAGGAGGACCACTGGTATAAGACCATAGTCCTGGGAGTCATGAAATTGTCTTCATTCTTCATTTTCATCTTCTTCCAGTAATGTTCTTTTTATTATTATTTTTTGAGGAGCTCTTTCTATGGAAGTGGGTTTGGGTACTGCAACAGAATTAGCAATTGCTGCTTCTGCACACTAGAGTAGGATGCCTGCTATCCCTTATCGGGAGATGCCCGTGATCACTTTTGCATCCTTATACATGCAAAAACATGTGCTGCCATATTAAGCTGTGTGCCTCCCCTTTTCAACATATGAGCAGCAAATGAACCTAAAAACGGAAAAATATTGAAGCCATGTTACCTATTGAAAATGCTTACTCCAAGTCTTAATGTTAAACGTTCTGTGACACTGACAATGCTGTGGTACCAGTGTTTTATATCCTCCCAAAGATACCTAAAAAGGAAAGACCACCCTTAGGTAGACAGATAGTCTCTGGCTCTAATTCCATTTTAGAACTTCTTTCAAAATATGTTGACTCTTTTTTGCAATCCTTCTTTCCTAAAATAGCCTCTTATCTTAGATACACTAAAGATTTTATCTGGCAGGTGGAAGGGAAACCTTTCCCTGAAATCGTCTTATTATTAACTATGAATATAAGCTCCCTTTGTACCAGTTTCCCCCACAGTGAAGCACATAAGAACATAAGAACATAAGAGATGCCAATGTTGGATCAGGCCAAAGGCCCATCCAGTCCAACACTCTGTATCACACAGTGGCCAGAAATACCAGTGCCATCAGGAGGTCCACCAGTGGGGCCAGGACATTAGAAGCCCTCCCACTGTTGACCCCCCCAAGCATCAAGATGACAGAGCATCACTTGCCCCAGAGTCCCTATCTATACCTTGTGGCTAATAGCCACTGATGGACCTCTGCTCCATAGGCTTATCTAATTCCCTTTTGAAGCTGTCCATGCTTGTAGCCGCCACCACTTCCTGAGGCAGTGAATTCCAAGTGTTAATCACTCTTTGGGTGAAGAAGTACTTCCTTTTATCCGTTCTAACCCGACCGCTGAGCAATTTCATGGCGTGCCCACGGGTTCTTGTATTGTGAGAAAGGGAGAAAATTACTTCTTTCTCTACCTGCTCTTTCCCATGCATAATCTTATAAACCTCAATCATGTCACCCCTCAGTCGTCGTTTCTCCAAGCTAAAGAGCCCTAAGCGCCTTAACCGTTCCTCATAGGGAAAGTGTTCCAACCCTTTTATCATTCGAGTTGCCCTTTTCTGCACTTTTTCCAAAGCTATAATATCCTTTTTAAGGTGTGGTGACCAGAACTGCACACAGTATTCCAAATGAGGTCGCACCATTGATTTATATAGCGGCATTATGATATTGGCTGATCTGTTTACAATACCCTTCCTAATAATCCCCAGCATAGCATTGGCCTTCTTTATTGCAGTCACACACTGTCTCGACATTTTCAGTGAGTTATCTACTACAACTCCAAGATCTCTCTCTTGATCAGTCTCTGCCAGTTCAGACCCCATCAACGTGTATTTATAGTTAGGATTTTTGGCTCCAATGTGCATCACCTTGCACTTGGCCACATTGAACCCCATTTGCCATGTTGACGCCCACTCGCCCAAAATTGACAGATCCCTTTGGAGTGCCTCACAATCCTCACTGGTTTTCACCACCCCGAACAACTTTGTATCATCCGCAAATTTAGCCACTTCACTGCTTACTCCCATCTCCAAATCATTAATGAACAAGTTAAAAAGCAGTGGACCAAGTACTGATCCCTGTGGTACCCCACTGCTTACACCCCTCCACTGGGAGAACTGCCCATTTATACTCACTCTCTGTTTTCTATTAATTAGCCAGTTTTTGATCCATAAAAGGACTTGTCCTTTTATCCCATGATTTTTGAGCTTACTTAGGAGCCCTTGATGAGGAACTTTATCAAAAGCTTTCTGGAAGTCAAGGTAAACAATATCTATTGGATCCCCCTTGTCCACATGTTTGTTCACCCCCTCAAAGAACATTAACAGGTTAGTGAGACAAAATCTTCCCTTACAGAACCCATGCTGAGTCTGCCTCAATAGGTTTTGTTCATCTATGTGCCTACTAATTCTTTCCTTAATAATGGCTTCCACCAATTTACCCCGTATCGACGTCAGACTGACTGGCCTGTAATTTCCCGGATCTCCTCTGGAACCCTTTTTAAAGATGGGAGTGACATTAGCTACCTTCCAATCCTCAGGAATGGAGGCTGATTTTAAGGAAAGATTACATATTTTTGTCAGGAGATCCACAAGTTCACATTTGAGTTCTTTCAGAACTCTCGGATGTATGCCATCTGGGCCTGGTGATTTATCAGTTTTTGAGTTGTCTATCAGTTTTAGGACCTCCTCTCTCGTCACCTCAATCTGACTCAGGTCTTTCAACACCCCTCCTGAACTGTGGAGCACGTGGAGTGGTTGAGAATTTTTTGGTAACAAGAGACAAATCAGATCCACCTACTCATTTTTTGTTATCTTTATTCTTGAAAAAAATTATTTTTGACTCGACTCAGAATATTTTTTGCAAGTCAAAGGAGTTGCCATAAGATGTACAGCAGCCCCTAGTATAGCCTGTTTATACATGGCAACATTAGAGGAAAAATTTATTTTGAATCCAGACACCAATCCTTTTTTTGAACATGTGACTATTTTCAAGAGATTTATTGATGATTGTTTTATTGTGTTTAATGATGCAGTTCAATTACCACATTCTTGTAAATGGATGTATCAACTTGATGAGAACATTAAATATACATGGCAGAGTCATAGACATTGTCTGCCTTTTTTGGACATAGTAGTTTATAGATCCTTTGATAACAAGTTAGTGGTATGTCCTTATAGGAAAGAGACAGACCAGAATACATATCTACACTATGGTTCTTTTCACCCTTTGCCCTTAAGACAGAGTATTCCATTTACTCAGTTTCTTCGGATAAGGAGAAATTCCACTTATTATAGGCATTATGCAAGTGAGAGTAAGATCTTGTATAGACATTTTAGAGAGAGAGTATCCTTCTGAAATTATCAATAATGCCTGTCTGAATTGGACAGGAGTCTTTAATGGTTGATCAAAAAAAGACATCAAACAATAGGATGTTTTGGGCTCTTGATTTCACTCTAGCTGCCAATCAGGTAGGTTGTACCATATTAAAACATTGGCATTTATTACATGAAGTTCCTGGATGTCAGTTACCCTTGTTTATAGGGTTCAGAAGAACTCAAAATATTAAAAGACATCATTGTAAGATCAGATATTAGGGGTCAGCCCCAGTCCAATTCATTTCCCATAGGACATTACAGGTGTGGGAATTGTAAAGTCTGTTCTCAAGTATTGGAAGGGTCTCAAATTGATGTTCCTGAGAGACAGATTCATGTTACTTTAAAACATTTCAGTACCTGGAAAACTTCAAACACTGTACCTAATAAGATGTACATGTCCAATGATATATGTAGACAGTACAAATCGCCCTTTGAAAGTATGCATGTTAGAACATCGTTCTCGCCTTAAATAAAAAATGCTAGAGCCAGTTTGGTGTAGTGGTTAAGTGCATGGACTCTAATCTGGGAGAACTGGGTTTGATTCCCCACTCCTCCACTTGCACCTGGCTGGATGACCTTGGGCAAGCTGTAGTTCTGATAAGAGCTGTTCTTGAAAAAAGAGCAGTTTCTGTCAGAGCTCTCTCAGCCCCGCCTACCTCACAGGATGTCTGTTGTGGGGAGGGGAAGGGAAAGGAACTTGTAAGCCGCTCTGAGACACCTTTGAGTGGTGAAGGGCGGGGTATAAATCCAATCTCCTCTTCTTCTTGGTTAGCCATTTTCAAGAATTTGGACATGCTGTAGGTGATAAATGCAAGATTGTAGCATTTGCTGTGTAGCCTGTGTTAAATAAGCAGGGCAGAAGAACGCTGGTTGCTAGGTAAATGGTTTTTGCATGTTCTTTCAGTGTGGAAAAGTTGTTCACCTGTGTAATGCACATTTTATTTTCTGCAAGGTTGGGCCCCATAGATCTTGACCCAAGTTCATTTACAACACAAGAGCTCAAAAAGGCATTGGCTAAAATGAAGGAGAGCACGAAAGCCGATACGCTGGAACAAAAGGTATTCATCTAGGAAAACATAAATTGGAGCATTAGTGAAAATGTAGCAATTACACACTTGGATCAGCTTGTGGAAAACAAAATTTAGGAAGCCTGTGATGCAAATCTGGACTGAGAGTCCAAAGTTCAGAAATATCCTGCAAATATTTCCAACTTAAAAGTGCACATTAGATTTGTCTGATTGTGGTCCATGGCCACCAAAGCCAGGCTGGTTTCTATATAATCCAGATGATTTGTGCTTTTCACTTTCAGTGTGGTTATCCTTTCCAAGGAGGAGAAGAGAAACAACTTCTAGCTTTAAAGAACCAGTTGTTAACCCAGAGATACCTCAGTTTTCTTCTGCCTGGGTCTGTGTGGGTTGTTGATCGGGTAGACCTGTGAATGTATCCATTCACTGTGTACTAATGGGTGGGGTTTTCTGAATCACGGGAGTCAGGGTGTTCAGAGCTGTGGACCTTTTCAGCCTCCCTCTTTCCCCAGTAGCTTCCTGGAAGCTCCCAAAAGCTGGTGATCAGGGCCAAAATACACGGTACATGTGGCATAAAGTTGGAGCATAGGTGCCCATCCCAGCTTGTAGTCACATGTACGATTGGTGGAACTCACCTTCAAAGTGTTCAATTGCTCTGCTTGGCTTAGGAGCACTGCAAGGGGGAGGAGGGGCTTCAGGCTTCCCTCTGGCACTGTTTTTGCCAGCAGAAATGGGTGGAGCCCAAGGAAGGAGCAAAACAAGCCCCCCCCCCCTATTTCTGCTGGTGAAAATGGTGTGGGAGGGGAAGGCTCCCATGACTCTGAGCCTTATTGAGGAGGCTGCTGGCAGGGGGAACTCTGTGATTGTCTTCTGTCCAGTTTCCCCCCATTGTATTTAAGATGGAAATAACTTAAGTGTTTGTTTTTTTTTAAATTGAGGAGTAGCAGGGCTTTGTTTTTGTTTTTTTAAAGAGGTGCCGGAACTCTCAAGAGGGAAATGAAGTTTTCAATCTGTATACTGAAAATGCATGAACTTTTAAACATTTTAAAAATGATTTTGTTCTGGAACTCCGTTCCGATGTGTTCTTCCAGAAAAAAAGCCCTGAGGAATGGCCTGAAGGAGAGGTATTCTATGCCCTATCCAGTTCCTACCCCTAGAATGCCCTGCTGTAAAATTTCTGGTGCTCTTGGGAAAACCTTCTCTTGTTAAGAACATAAGAACATAAGAGATGCCAATGTTGGATCAGGCCAAGGCCCATCCAGTCCAACACTCTGTGTCACACAGTGGCCAGAAATACCAGTGCCATCAGGAGGTCCACCAGTGGGGCCAGGACATTAGAAGCCATCCCACTGTTGACCCCCCCAAGCACCAAGATGACAGAGCATCACTTGCCCCAGAGTTCTCCAACTCTCTGAAAATTATTGGGCCAGCCAAGTGTATAAGCTCCTTCTTTTCCGATTTAGCTGCAGTTCAGCCCAGTAGAGTCTGGGAAGTTGGACCAGTGGAGTTACAGGATAACCCTAAACAGAATTATACCCTTCTCTATCTACTGACTTCATTGAATTTTGAATGGTATAACTCCGTTCAGGATCACGCTGAAAGCTGTTCTTCATGTCTCTTCTTAGGAATTATTTTCAGTGGGATCTTTGACTACCCGTGAAACAACTTGCTCTTCATTGGTGGTTATCATGCTGTCTTTCAACAGTTGAGACCTGGATTCTAATCCAGAGGCTTGCTTAATGACCTTGAAAAGTCTTGTATTTGAATAGGGAATGGGCTCATGTCCTTGAGTTGGAATCAGAGTTACCTTTTGCCCATTGAAGGGCACTTCTGTGGACACGCTGTGGCTTTCTCCAGTTCCCCTCTTCCGTTGCAGACTCTCCCATTGTGCCCCATGCCATTCCTAATGGTTCGATGCCACCCGGGCAGCATTTCAGGGAGGCCAGTGGTCTGCAATAAAAAAGGGGAGGTGGGGAAGATCCATTCCTCAACCAGGATGCATTCAGATGGTTAGATCCAGACTGAAGCTCTACTTGTGGGGTTTCCTTCTGGCTCGTGAGGCCAAGGATCTCCTAAGTTTTAAGTTGCAGGAGCTTTTGCAGTAGGCAAATTTACAAAGATAAAAGGAAGGAAGATCAAAAAGGGGGGGGGGGAGAGATGTTTCCCAGGTGACTGTTAAGCATTTCAAATTGTCAACTGCCTTGGCAGAGCTGTGGATAAACAGAATGTAAGAACAAAATCGCTAAGTAATGAGGACTGTTTTCGGTAGCTGTAAATCACACTACCAGCCCATTAATGCATCATTGCAGTCATTTCACCTTGTCTTAAGGTTAATGCCACCTCTTGAATCAATCTTAAATGCTCAGGGAGGTGGCCTGTACACACAAACAGTGTAACGCATTGGCTTGGATTCACTGGAGCGTTTCCACAGAAGGAAACATTTCCACCTGTAGAGCATGACTTTCTCTCTCTCTCTCACACACACACCCGCTGCTACTGCAGCCCAAAAGGCTCCCTAAAATTCTGCTTTCTGTGGGGGCGGGTTGTCCCTGTTCCCAAGAGGACTGTTGAGGTGAGAAAGTCACACTTGGCAGGTGGAAATGTTTCCTTCTGCAGAAACGCTGTGGTGAATCCCGGACAGGAGGAGGGAGCTTGAGCACACTGTTGTTCAGTCGGCCTGGGCAGAATGTGCCGCAAAACTGAAGCTCCCTTGAAGCCAAGCTGTTGGAATAGTATGATTTCCATCCCAATACAATACCGTGCTCTTGTCTGAGAGGTTAAATGTGCTGATAGGAGGTGGCCAATAACGCTGTGTGTTTTATCTGGCTGCATAATTAACTGCATAATTAAAAGCACTCATGTTTGTGTTTAGCGGCAATTACTTGTGTATACCGAAAGATGCTACTGCTTTGACAGGATTCCCCCCCCCCCCAAGAAGCAGAATGTGGGTAGAAATTGGTGTTTATCTTTTTGGAGAGTGTGCTATTTTGGTTTTGTTTTTCCTCCTTTCTCAGGCTCATCAGGAAGATGTCAGACGAAGGTTCCGTTCTATTGAAAAACTCAAGGAAGAGTTTAGGGAGCTGAATATGCAGCTGGAAACAGACTTTGAAATTATGTCTAAACTAATCAACAGATTCAACAGTACCACTTCAACGTTGGAAGAGAAAATAGCGGCACTTTATGATCTTGAATATTATGTTCATCAGGTAAGAAGGGTTTTTTTTTTAAGCACGAACAGCTGTTGTGCTATATTCTGGGAAGAAGAAATCATAAAAATAGATCTACCGCCATACCAGATGTTATGTAATTGGGGCACTCTGTTTATTGACACTTGACATTTTGCCAGCACAGGTGTACATGGTCATAAGGGGGCAAATGTTGTTATGTATAAAGTTGTACGTGGGGGTTGTAACCAACGTTAGATGCTGCAGTATGCTGCGGCATACAGCTTGAATGCACATTCAAGAAACCTCATTATATTCTGTGCAAGTTTACCCAGGCTTTCTAGAAACTAGTTGCACTAGGTCTCAGTGTTGGAATCTGTTCCAGATCGGCATAGTCTAGGGCTGCAATCCTGAATGTGGAGGCAAGTTCTGTTGACAAATGAGGGGAAAGCAAAAAATAAAAACCTGAAGTGAAAACTAAAGGCACAAAAATGCATGCGGAAATCAGGGGATAAACCTAAGCAGTATGGGGCCAGAACCGACACCCCCCCCCCATGAGGGAAATCCAATATCTCAACTTCCTTTTTCTTCTTCCTTACTGATGAGTTCGTTGTCAGTAATACAGATGCTTATGTTTAGACCGCAGATACTTTTGTCTAACTTTGCTAGCAGTGTTTCATTTACTTTTTAAAATTGCATGTGCAGCTCATCCAGATTCCTAGTAATGACTTTCCAAAGGAAGGAGAGATTTGTTTTCATTTGATAGTGTTGTTCTTTTTATGGCAAATAATTCTCTGGGGGATGTTTTAATCACATTCTTTGAATTTTCTGTGATTCATTCTGTATTTCATGGTAGTCATAATAGTACATGGTTCCTGCAAACGTGAAATGTATTGCTTCTAGAAGTGGGGGGCCGTTGTGTATCACTGGAGGCAGGAGCTCTTTTAACTTTTTTGTCTTTTAAAGTTAATTAGCCATTTTGGTCGCTATAAGGTAGGATCAGATTTAGATTTGCATACTTTTCTCTTTTTTTGGTATTTTTGGTGTTTTTGTCTGTGTGTGTGTGTGGTCTCGTGCCTGGAAGTCATGGTGAGCTCTGGCGTCTCCTACTGGGGCATGGAGGGCGTTCAGAGAAGTGGCAGGCTATCAAGCCACTTCTCTATCAATAGCTATTAGCCAAAAGGTATAGATAGGAACTCTCAGTCTGGGGCAAGTGATGCGCTGTATTCTTGGTGCTTGTGGGGAGGCAACAGTGAGAGGGCTTCTAGTGTCCTGGCCCCACTGCTGGACCTCCTGATGACTGGATGGGCCATTGGCTTCTGTTATGTTCTTATCATCAGATCTCAGAAGCAAAGCAGGGCCGACCCTGGCAAGTATTTGGATGGGAGATCTCCAGAGAACACCAGGGCTGGGAGGCAAGAGGCAGGCTATGAAGCCACTTCTCTGAGTGTCCTTCAGGCCCCAGTAGGAGTTGCCAGAGGTCAGCATGACTTTCAGGCATGGGCGCACACACACAAAAATGCAAAAATACCCCCCCCCCCAAGAGAGAGTGTTTCTCTGCACAGGTAATCGGGCTGCACTGTGCAAAGTGGTTCAGAAACTTACCGGATAAATTATTGGGCTTGTGCTCTGTGCTGCTGCGTATAGCTCAGTGTAAGTCGGATCCTGTTGTGTAATTTCTGTACTGCCGTTGGGTGATAGTGAGATATTGTAAAAATGGTATTTAGCAGAGATAAGATAGTCCAGCAGTGCCAGAGTAAAATAATTCAGACTGAGAGTCCATGTGTGATTAAAATATAAAGTTTTTACTAAATTCTAACATGAGAAGGGTAACTGGAATGAAAATAACAGAGCATAATCGGCTACATCCTTACTCTACAAAGACAAAACTAGAAGAGGGAGATTATGGCTACTCTTCTTGTTCTTCAGAACACCAAACAAAGACGGGAAGAGAAGCCATAAAATGGTAATACACCTTGACACTTTAGTCCCAATCAAATTCCTAGATCAGGGAGAAAATTCCCGGGCATTCGACAGCTAAAGAACATTGGTTACATGAGAAACATGTGACTTCCTGTGAGTAACATAAACAAACATTTAACCCCAGATATACTGAGTGTTTTCAACTTGTAATACCCAACAGCTGCTTAATGGGTCATAGGAATACTTATGCTATGCTTCAGTTCTTTCTGGTGGTTCCGGACTTCTAAAATCCTCATTCCCTGTTTACTGAAGGTCCCGTATTGTTGATTGAACCATAAATGTGTAATCCACCTTGAGTCCCTGTGAGAAAGGGGGACTATAAAAATAAGGAAATAATTTGGGGAGGAGGAAAGGGCTGTATTTGTCGGGTGGCTTGAAGGCCATCTCTCTCTTAAATCAATAAACGTCTTTTTAAATGTAATTTTTAAATGTGATTTTTCATTCATCTCTGTAGGTGGACAATGCCAAAGATTTGCTTTCCCTTGGTGGCTTACAACTTTTGATTAATGGGCTAAACAGCACCGAGCCACTGCTGAAGGAATATGCGTCCTTTGTGCTGGGAGCAGCTCTCTCTAGGTGAGCCTCTTTATTCTCTGTGTGTGTGTGTGATTTCTGTGAATTTGGCCAGAAGGAAGGCTTAACGGAACAAAGCAGGCAGTACTGGGCTGCCTGTTGGACAGGAGAGGCATGGATTCTGGCTGGAATGCAGCATGGCCAGCTGTTCGACAGCCACCATTGTCAGAATAGGTCAACCCAGAAGTGACTCGACCTGTCCTGTGGTTGCTAGGCAACCTCACAGGACTTCTTGTCTCCTTTGGAACTGGGCTCAGTGGCTCTGTAGCAGCTGCTGTGTGGCTGCAGCGGCAATGAACTGACCCTCTCCCAATATCCAGAGAGAGGTTTTTAAGGCGCTAGCTGTGACAACAAAGAAACAAGAGCCTCAAGTTGACACTTTTTGCTAATTAGATGGTAATTAGGTTTAAAAAAATATGTGTTGCTGAAAGGATCCCAGGCTCTTGAGGGGAAGAAAGAAGCAAATCTGAATATATGCTGTCTTTGGGATTATAATAATAATACAGGGCTTTTGTTTATATCTGGTACCGTTATGAGCACTCAAAAGGAGCCGAACTTCGTAGTTATTATCTAAGCAAGACTTGAGGGTGGTTTTCTTTTAACAGAGTTCAAAAAGAGAGCAAAGAGACAAAGCAAAAGTGCCTTGCAGGATAATCTCACGTTTATGACTGGATTCTATGTGTTTATATATCTGTCGTGCCCCTGGGACCTTAGATAGATAGATGTGGCGGAGTTCTCTGTTGCTTGGCTCGAATTTCCCAATCCTGTGGAAAGTCCCAAGTGCCTTTTCCAGCTATTTCTTCCAAAGTAGTGCTATGAATTTCAACTCAGGACCCTGCATGTTTGCCTCATGGTTTTGCGGTGTGCTGAGCACTATCATTTTTGGGGGCGCAGCAAGACACATAGCAAAGTATGTCCGCTTAATATCGGCAGGTATCCTGGTTTAGGCTGGAGAAACTTCCTCCATCCTAAGGGGCCTCCCTCCAAACTGAGTGATTCTTCCATTGAAGGAAGAACCATCACTTTACCGAGCAAAGTTTAAAGCTTTCCTCCAACTTAGGTGGTCAGTAGAGTGACCATCAGGGGTCATTTCTTGCTGGAGCGCGCCGGAGCAGTGCTCCGGCAGTAAGGAGTCCAAGGTCAGCCCCCCCACTGCCTTTCCTGGCCTGCCTGCCAAGGTGGACAGGCCAGGGAAGGCCTGCAGAGCCCCCCCACACCGCCTGGGGGGATTTAAATGCCTTTCTTTCCCTTCCCCCTTTTAAACATGCCTGGGTTCCCTGCCCGATCTTGAGAAGATCAGGCAGGGAACCCAGGCATGCTTGCATGCCTGCCCTTTGTCAGGGGCTGTGGCATATGCAAATGAGCTATGCAATTGCGCTCCTCCACCTCTTTTTCTATAAAATGACCCCTGGGCCATTCACTGCACCACACTATGGAAATATGTGCAAATGAGTAAATGGGATTCTCTGTGTTGTTTACTTTCCAGCTTTGGCTTTCTACCTACACAAATCATGCATTGATAAAATACTGCTACTCAATTTTATTTATTTATGTAGAATATGTACATACCTGTCTTTCTCTCAACCATCTCGGGACTCTAGGTTGATATTATTTATTGTAGAAGTAATCATTATCTGTACATTTTAGGTGTTCCTTGTCTACACTTGTTTGTGGCATTTCTTTTGAGTTGGGCCTGTGTTCTGTTTTGAATTCCTAAAACAGTCAAGTTAAGGCTTGTCCATTAACCCTTCCTTTTCTATTGCTTTGTCACTGTCCATCAAAACGTATTCTTTTACAATTTGCTCCTTTTGGGTGTTGTGGGGCTCCCTTAGAGCTTTCAATGCTGTAATGGAGGTTTTGTATACTACCAGTTTGTTTTATATTACTAAGCAGACTTTGCTGCTTCTATAAATGAAATGCTTTTCATTAGCAATATGGAAACAAAGTACCGGACCGTGGGAAAAAACTTGCTCCTTATTGATGAATTGAACAGAAAATAGTCAAAATTCATATTGCTGTTTAAGGTTCGTACCTCAGAAGACATTAAAGATCTGTCATCCCAACCCAGAAGTACACCAATGTTTAAACAATAGAATTAACAATCTGGGCAAATATTTCACACAGTACTTTGAATTTGTTCTAATCTTGAAATAATAGCTATTACTAATAATAACAGTTCAAATGCCATAAATATTGAAACTTCTAAGTGCTTTGGAATGGCAACTTCAACCGTAGCTAGAGAAAAAAATCTAAAATTGACCATGGTCAGTGCCAGATTAAGACAGCAACAACTTTACTTCCCTACATGTGTCTGCAGAAAGAGCCAACCTTACATTCAAACCAAAAAATTCTGAAGCCATCCTTCCTGAGCTAAGACAAAAATGTGTGAGCTAGAGGCTAAAAAACTGTGAGCTAGCTCACACTAATTCAGCTTAGAGGGATCACCGCTCACAAAGTATCTGTTGTGGGGAAGGGAAGCAGATTGTAAATCGCTCCGAGACTCCTTTGGGTATTGAAGAGTGGGGTTTAAAACCAGCTCTTCTTCACCTTATCAGGTGAGTTTTGCTAGGACAGGGGTATGATTATATTTCAGATAACAGCGTTCTCTCGTTCCAGCTGAGCCCAAGTTGAATATTCCCCCCCCCCATTTCAGCAAGGTTTTGTCAATAAAAAAATTACACTTTTGTGTAAGAAGATGGACCTCACTTTTATTTTAAAACTAATCTATAAACAATTGGATCCAGAATTTAATTTGGCCTCATGGAAGTCATTCCTGGGATTGTATGTAAGCCATGAGCTGGTGTATAGCCTCTCCCAGCCCTCTCGATTTGGACAAGGACTTCTGTGATGGGGTGTTTCAGAACTGAAACTGCAGTACTAACCATGGTGCTGAAGTGGCAAACTGCTGCCAGAGGACACTGCTGCAGTGTGTTTATTTTGGGTGTGTGTGTGGGGGGGATTTGTAAACTAGCAGCCCTCTGTGAGCCACAAAATGGGCTGACTTGCACACTGCAGCATTATTTCGAGATTCAAGCGCCTCTGCTGGTCTTTCCCATGGTCCTCCCAAGCAAGCGTTTGGTGCAACAAATGCATCATTCTTGCCTAGCTGTCGCAAAGAAATTAAATGTATTTTCTTTAGTAGTGTTTCGGTTGCAAGGAAGTCACGTTTCTTTTTTTTCGAGCAAGGAAGGAGATTGTAATGTTTTCTAGGTGGGAAAATGGGATTTCCCACCTATGCGATGAGTCACAGTGATCCTTGACTAAATGTGTCAAATCAGCTTGTGTGTCTCACCATCTGCTTGATATTACAAGATCGGGGTGGAGGTGGGGGGAGATTAGTAAAGAGACCTTTACTCACTCATGGGATTCAAAGAGTGGGGAGGAACATCATCCGGGCTTCAATTTCAGTAGGTCTTTCACCAACGTACCTTAACCTTACTGGAGCAGGGAGCAGTTTTTTAAAAAAAGCAAAAAAACTACACTAGGGAGTTTGATTTTAGTCTGTGTATTGTTTGCTTGTGGTCTTCAAAAAAACCCCTTCATTAAAGAGAAAGGGTCTTGTTGGTATAAGATACTTCTGCACCAAGCAAAGACTTTTTAATTTTTTAATAATTTTTTTATTGCTTTTATATACTACACAACTACAGGAAAAGGGAGTGGGAAATAACTATAACTAAAAAAAAGAAGCTACAATTTAAGGCAAGGATCATATTTTAAAGGTTACATTTTCATATATCGTTCTTACAATACTCTGTATTAAGTATGAATACTGTGTTTGATGCCTTATTTGCTTAATAAAGCTAGTTTGAGCCATTAATGTTAATCTTTAGGTGAATTATAGTCCATTATATTTTGTTGAACTTCTTGTTTATCTTTCATGTTTCCGCACCTCAAATGGAATTCCTTTAAAATTCTCGTTTCTTCATCTTTAACTTTCAGGATTTTCCCAGATATCGCTTTTAAGACTGCGTCTCTAGTAGATCTCTTGGAGAATTTCACAAATATTTCACCAGGTAGCTTATTCTTGTGATAAAGTCTGGATAAGTTCGATAAACCAAGTCCATATCATTTTGTAGTAAATCCTGCTTAAGCTCTGTCACTGGTGCTAAAGTTTCGCTTAATATTTCTTTTAGATTTTCTCCTTTCTGTTCTGGGATACCCTGGAAACGTAAGACATACATTGATCTCTCCATCTGAAGCTGTAGCAATTGTCCTTTGTCAGAAATTCGCTCTTTTTCCACTTCTTCCAGTTTCTGTGTAATATTCTTTGTTTTTTCTTCAACTTTCTTGATGGCTTTATCAGCCTCAGCTGTTCTTTTGTCAATTCCGATCAGTTGCTTTTGAACTCCGTCAGGTTTGTTGTTGATGTTAGACATCTGCTCCAGCAGAGGGCGCAGCACTATTGCCAGCATACTGGAGAGATCAGTGGCTGCTTCCGGTATCCAGGTAGGAGTTGTTGTCTGGGTAGTTCCTGTGGAAGGTTTCTTTTCCATCGCCATTTTTCTCCCTCTGCTGGACGTTGTTTATGCAATGCTCTGAATGCCGTGGGCACTGTCCTGTGTTGGTGTAGTGGTTAAGTGTGCGGACTCTAATCTGGGAGAACCATGTTTGATTCCCCACTCCTCCACTTGCAGCTGCTGGATGACCTTGGGTAAGCCATAGTTCTGTCAGAGCTGTTCTCTCAAAGACAGCTGTGGAAAGAGCTCTCTCAGCCCCACCTACCTCACAGCGTGTCTGTTGTGGGAAGAGGAAGGGAAAGGAGTTTGTAAACTGCGCTGAGACTTCTCTTCTTCTTCTGCTTATACCATGCATCTGCCTGCTTTGTACCCAGCAGCTAGGCTGGGCACCTATGAAGGGGGCTCCTAATTATCTTGATGGCTAATTGTTACTTTCCAGTCACTAACTGTGAAGTCCAGTCCTGCAACAATCAGGTGGGGACCAACTTTTCCTGCCTGTGAAAGAGAGGCGAGGGCTGGCTGTTACAATGACTTTGCAGTGATGAA